AGCTCTGCTTCCCGTCCCTCCCCCAACCCCTCGCCCATGATCAAGTGTGTCGGTTTTTTTGGCAGGGTCTACCTGGTAACCCTAATTGATATGCGCTTTAGTAGTTAAATTCCTGGACTGTCATTGCTCATTAAAAGTGCTGTCATATAGGTGGAAATCGGTAAATATTGCATTTTATTAACATCAGCAGAACTGAGATATGAGGGGCCTGCATGTTATGTAGTCTTGCCTTAATCTTTGTATTTATGTTATTTGCTTATATCAGGGTCTACCTGGTAACCCTAATTGATATGCGCTTTAGTAGTTAAATTCCTGGACTGTCATTGCTCATTAAAAGTGCTGTCATATAGGTGGAAATCGGTAAATATTGCATTTTATTAACATCAGCAGAACTGAGATATGAGGGGCCTGCATGTTATGTAGTCTTGCCTTAATCTTTGTATTTATGTTATTTGCTTATATATATATATATATATATGCTTGTATATGCAACCACATTAAGTGGCAGCCCTGGGCATGTGCTGTGAGTATCATTGTGGCTCCAGAGGCTTCCAAAGTTGAGTAGCCCTGCCATAGGGAAACTCCTTACACAGTGTGAAACATGTTTGCAAGATAAAGGCCTAAAGGCCTAACTCCGACAAGGTCATGAGCCATCAAAATCATGTGAAGTTGAAGACAGTCAGCAACTCCCAGAAGGTGGTAAGTACCTTGCGACATAGGGCTCTTAATTTTTTATCTACAATTTCTCAAGTGTATCCGGTTTGTGGATTTTAAAGGGACAGTGGGTTATATATATAGCTTCTAAAAAATCTATCCCTTTCCCCCATCTTCCCATCCCACTCTTTTGTGTTCCCAAAAGAAACTTTAAGCTGAAATCCTTTTCTTGTCTGACATTTCTCCTCTAGATACTGTAGTACTCCCCATGAGCACTGAGCTGAAGGTATATTGATCAAGTACAAAAAAAAACCCCAGCATTATCTACAAGCAAATATTTTAAAAAACATTACTGTCCATGCATTTTGACAATCTGACTTGGACCCCTCTGTTTTTTTTCCCACCCTCAACATTGCTTTGCCTCATAGGTCTGTCTTCTATTCCAGGCTAGTAAATCAGTTATTAGAATGCCCAAGGCACTTTGTAGTTATGGCTGCAGTACCAGAAAAGTACTGTACTGTCAAGGGCAAGTGCTTCCAGAACAAGTTCCTGTGTTACAGTAAATGTTAGGGTAGCCTCACTAATGATGATGATGAGATATGGTGATTCTTGCAGATGTCACTCTGACCTCAGCTGTAACAATGAGTACAGTAATTACTAAGTAACCTGGCCATGAGAAAATAAATATTCAAATAATGGTAAAATTGTCCTTTCCCCTAAAGTGGGTAGGCTAATTGATTTCAAAGTAGCTGTAAATGTGGCCTCTGCTGCAAGACTATGTCCCTCCAGACTTTCAGAGATGACCTGAAGTTTATGATTATTGCATTACAGATTGTGTTAGCCCTTCTGACAGTATTTGGCTCTGCTTTGGACAGGGGGCTGGACTCGATGACCTTCTAAAGTCTCGGCCAGCCCTTGGAATCTATCATTCTATAATTTGAAGGAGAATACATTGCATACCATGCAATTTATTTGGTGAGGTGGAGGAGGGAAAGGAGCGTTTATATGCTACCTCAAAGCTCAAGATCTTGTGTGCCACCGGTGAATATTACGGAATGCCTGGCACTTTTGAAATGAAGGGCGTGGCTTGGTGAGATTGGTCAAAATTTCTCATCTTTGCATTGTTGCAGAGCATCCTCTGAACAGATCTTCTGCCCCACTGCCACTATCTCAACCAGACAGGCTCCATTAATATACAGCAGCACCTTCTCACTCTATGTCTGAAGTACTGTGCATATGGATTTTCTGAATGACAGCTGCATTAGAAGACCCTGATCCTACAACATGTTCCACGCAGATGCAATTTCATGGAGCTCTATGGAGGTAAATGGGGCTTCAAACAAGCTCAGTGGTCATGAACAGAACAAGGTGCAAGATCAGAGGCCTAAGTGTCAAATATTGCAAATGACTGATTTTTACACATTCCCTTGCATATTCGAATTTTCCTGTGTTTCAGGGGAGCATTTGCGTGATATTTAGCTAGGACACATTATTTTCTACAAACATACTACAATGCAAATACCGGTCTGTTTCTATTCAGGCTGTGGGTTTTCTTTACACTCTCCCTCAGGCTGTGCCGTCGACGGATCAGAATTTCTTTGGCTTGTTTTTCACTTGAATCTGCAGCCAGGCTATGTCTGTTATAAGACATCGTCTGAAAAACAAAGGCAGTGGCAACATTTTAAAAAGCACAATAGCTAATGCATTGAAGATTTCCAAATGGAACTACTTGCACTCTTTGTTCTATCATTGTCTTAAGCTGTCACAAATATCTTGCAAACCAAATCACATTAAAAATTGATTAAGGGCAATCTGAGTAAGTCAATGTTTGTTTAGTCATTTGTACCACAGGGCTTCTGTTAGGCACCTGCCTTTGTTAAACCTGCCAATATTTATCATGAAAAAGAACTCGGAAAAATGGCTTAATGCAGTGTTTATGCCAGACTCACACTAGCTCATTCAACGTGTCAATAGAGGACATTCATTTGAAGGTGAAAAGATCAGTCACCAAAGGGGGAAAATATTTTCAGCTCCAGCGAGCTGAAGCCAGCTCCTCATTTGAATGCTTTCCAAAAATCACAGACATACAACCTATTTTAGCCACAGGAGGGTGTAAGTGCAGAGTCCTTTTTGCTTTTAGTTCACCTTTTCCCCAGCTCATCAACACACACTTTCAATAGACACAACTGCAGACCCACTGGAAATAAGAAGACCAATTTCACATCAAGAGCTGACCAAACCAGTAGCAAGACAAAAGTGGGACAAAACTGGGGTTTGGTTCCATGGGGTTGTGGGTGTATGAGCCTTCAGATGTAATGTAAATAAGCTGGATGTAATGTAACAATAATATTTAGCACTTGTATAACAAGCCAGTAAAGCCCTTATTATGGAAGCAGTTTTATTGCAAACATGAAAGAAACCGATCCCCGGCTGAGAATCTGGTGTGAGAATGGATTTTACAGATAATCTTTACATTCCAAGCTGACGTGGGATAGTCTATAAAATATAACTTCACCCTTACTCGATGTCGTATTTGATAGAGATTCTTTGTTAATATTTCTCGCATGTTATTCATTTCATCTGGGGATAGAGGCCTTACTATATTTTCCTCATAATCACTGTTGCAAAGTACAGAAAGAGAGAGAAAAAGAAATGTTTAATACCTGAACATACAAATTTAAATTACCAATTTACTTCCATAAAGATATAAATAACAAGTCCACACAAGGGATTTTTTATTCAGGATGAAAGGTGGAATCCGGACTCCACTGAGGTCAATGGTAAAGCTTAAAATTCACCCAAAATGTCATGCTCGCTCAACATTCTGCATGTGTTAGTTTAAACTACACATTTGATTAAGGTACTCTTCAAAGTGCCCAGGAAGCCTCCCCTCTCACTGCTGAGCTACTGTACTCAGGACTGACCCTAAACCAAATAGCCCCTCTTTCATTTATTAAACTTTTGAATAACTTACAGCACCCTAAACCCAGTGCCTCCAACTAGGTACCTCAGGGTATGTCTACACTACCCCCCTAGTTCGAACTAGGGGGGTAGTGTAGACATACCCCTACACAGTAGCCTGCCCCTAAATCTGGCCCTGGCTATACCAGCTACTTTCAGAAGAGCAGGCACTGTCTGACTCAACTCCCTGTGGGAATACGCAGTACTCTAGGACAGTGGTGTGCAACCTTTTTTCCCCCGCGACTCCTACGGCTGGGCCCAGCCATTGGTGGCCACGTGACACGGGGCTCAGATGCGGATGGCTGGGAGGTGGGCCCGGCCATTGGCGGCTGCGCAGTGCGGCACTTAGACCTGGGCAGCCATGAACTGGGCCCAGATATTGGCTGCGAGGTGCGGCGCTTAGACCAAGGTGGCCAGGGGATTGGCCCGATCATTGGCAGCCACGTGGCGCGGCAACCCCTCCTCCCCCAGGAAGACGGGTTGCGCACCACTGCTCTAGGATACTTGTTCCCACTATCCCCATCAGGCTCTCCAACCTGGAAGAGCAAAGATGACCTCTGGTGTGTATGGGGTGAAGATAAAACAAAGAAACAAAAAGTCCCTTTGTAACTCACACACTTAGGGTGGTTGACTGTCCCATGCAGTGGCACCTAGACCACAGCATCAGATAAGAACAAGAGACCTCTACAGCATGGGCTGAAAGTCAGTTGGCTTTTAGCTCAGAGGATAGAGGCTCCTGTACTAAGCTTCAGAGGTCCCAGGTTCAAATCCCACTGGTGGTGCAACCACCTTCACTTCTCTTAGTGGGGCAGTGCCCAAGCAACCCCAAAGCTACAGGCGCCTCTCTAATGGCATGCATTTTAGACTCATTGTGGGGGAAATGGTAATTGCAGAGTCAATGTCAGGCAACACCAGGTTGCAAGCCTTAAAGAAGAGAGGTTCCCTGTACACACTTGCTGTTGTGTAATAAACCCACACACCTATATGGTGGCTCAGTCATATTGGCCTTACTTACTTGAGAGAAGCTGAGGATGGCACTGTACTTATCATCCCACTTTCTGCCATCTCAATGGCATGTTTGATTTCTAGCTTCTTGTACAAGGACACAATGCTGGATTTGGGCTGGTTCTCCCGGATTAGAAGCCTCCGCAGGAACTTATTGTCAAATTTTTTAAACCTGTGTGTGAAGCAAACAAACCCAACCAGTTAGTTTACGTTACAAATAGTTCAGGAAAGCAAATATTCCGTGGCTGCAGTGAGGGGGATAGAGGTTACTCCCCGTGGGATGGATTTCTGGCCACACAAATCAAATATCATTTAATGAGGTAATCAAGGATCAAGTAAATCTTCCTTTCTGCTGGGTTTATGGGACACATAAATTGATGCACCCACCCTCTAACCCAGTGGTTCTCAAACTTTTTGGCCTGTGGCCCACCTGGCTCAACGCAAACCTTTCTGCGGTCCACCAGTTGCTAATGGGAACTTGGTGTTTATTATATATATAAAAAAAATTTAAAACGCCAATAGTCTAGTAGCACCTTGAAGACTAACAAAACCTGTAGATGGTATCATGAGCTTCAGATGCGGGTTTTGCCCATGAAAGTTCATGACGCCATCTACATGGTTTGTTAGTCTTTAAGGTGCTACTAGACTATTTGTTGTTTTTTAAGTTTTTCCTGTCATAGACTAACTCGGCTACCGCTCTGAAGTTAATTACATAATTATACCTGAGCCATTTTGCTATTATTGCAGTTAGGGAGAATGGTTTAATTTAACCAGAAAGAAAGGAAATATTAATTTTAAATTATTAAACAGATTAAGTGCTTTAACTTTCTCATATTAGTTTATCAAACTTCATTTTAAATAAAGTAAAATATTAATTTATGTCCAACACAAAAGGTTCCCATGTTTTCTCTGTTTATGGCACAGGGGTGGGGAACCTTTTTTGGGTAGGGGGCCACTGACCCACAGAAAAATCAATTGGGAACCACACAAGTGAGAAGCAAAAAAAACAACAACAACAACCCAGTCGTCACTGATGTGGCCCCCCAATGAGACACTTCAATCCTTTGGCATTCCAGCCTCACTGGAGGAGGGTGAGGGACAGGGAGCACTGAGGTTCAGGGCTTCCCATAAGCCAGAATTACACCTCTGGGATTTCAGAGTGAGTGGATTTTGTGGATCCACCTAGGCTCTAGGGTTGGGACAAAAATGAGGGGTTTAGTGTGCCAGTGAGTGGGATAGGGATGGGGGCGCAGGATCTGGGTGGGGGGGTGGGGTACAGGAGCAAGCTGGGAGGAGGGTGTCTGACCAGTAGGAAGGGGCAAGAGCAAGGGAAGATGCAATGTCTGGCCGGGGGGAAGGAAGAGTGCAGGAGCAAGGAAGGCTGCAGGAACAGGCTGGGAGTAGGATATCTGGCTGGGGCGAAGGGTGCAGGAGGAGGCTGGGGGTAGGGTGTCAGGACAAGAGGGAGGGTGCCGGAATGAGCTGGGGGTAGGGTGTCTGGTCAGGGGAGAAGAGTGCAGGAGCAATGGAGGATGCAGGAGCAGGCTGGGAGTAGGGTATGTGGCCATGGGGGAGAGTACAGGAGCAGGCTGGGGGTGAAGGCGTCTGGGCATGAGGAAATGGGGGGGTCACTTACTTGCCTTTGCGCCCCAGGCAGCTCCCATGCATGACCTCCCACTGTTCCCCCAGCCAGGAAGGGGGAGCACTTCCTTCCCTGCAAGCTGGATCATGCAGCCAGACTTGGGACTTCTCCCCACCCCCAACAGAAAGCTGTTGCTAGTGCTCCAACCTCACGGGGGAGAGGGGAAGGGAGGCATGGCTGGGACACCAGTGTGGGCTCCCCACTACAGGGAAAAGGAGGGGGGCTGTGCTCGAGCCATGGACCACCTGGAAGACTGCAGTTTGAGAACCACTGCTCTAACCATAGTTAGCTTTTAATTGTGTTGGTTTATTGGCAATTATTTTTAATTAGACATTTGCCTAAAAGACAAAGGAAGCAGTAAATATTCATGTAATAGTGACAAAAAGGCTGTGACTTGAACTCACTGCCTTTCATGCTCTGAACTTTTAATGTCCTCCTGGAAAAAAAATCTATTTTGTTACCCATTATTGCCTCTAGTGTAGCAATTGCAATCCTTCTTGGATGCTCACTGAACTTGATCTTTCTTCTCCTTACTAAGTTTAAAATAAAACCATAAAGAACCATGCAACAACCTGCTGGTCTAATATACAACTCTTTCAAGAACCTCAAAGTCACCCATTTCCTGAGTCTTTCTGTGATATGATCCAATGGATTCTAATTGGTTCCCACCAATCAAAGAAATAACCCCATGTTTCACCATTACAAAGCTGTACACGCTGGAATAGCAAAGGAGGCTCTGGGCTACAGGTTTACACAAACTCTCTAAATGCATATAGCAAACATTGCAAAAACCAGAAATGGAGAATGAATGGTTTGAGATGATGGAATTCTATAGACAAGGGTCATAGGGCTGGGTTTTTAGCCTGCTATAGTTTTTTGTTCTGTTTTCTTGTGGTTTTGTAAAACTATTTCATCTCACTCTGCAACCCGGGCATGCTAAACCAAACCAAACACACTCTTGAGTACAACCCCAAGGTATAAATCCACCACCCAACTGGCTGATTTTGCTGTTCTGAGCCAGCTCTTCCACTCAGCCAACTAGGTCTCTCCTCTACAGCAAAGAGTTTTAAATAACATTCTTACTTGTCTTTCCAAAAGTTGTGACCCCAGTGCCCACATACGTCTTCAATTCCAGTCTTCACGTGATCAAAGAACTAAAGGCAAACATAAAAATTCATTATGAATTCTTATGAACATAATTCAGCTTGCTCTTAGATATGACGCTTTAGTGCTAGCCTAGTTAAATTACTAAGATCTTGTCTGTATTAGAAAAGTTACACTAGTTTAACTCAATCAATTGAAAAATCCATCAAATTGAACCAATGCAAATCTGTAAAGTAGAATCATAGAACCACAAGGTTGGAAAGGTCAACAGATGCATTTAAACCAGTTTAGTCAGTATTTAAATTGCTTTAAGTTGAGTGGAAGGATTGTGAAGGGATTCAGGCATTAGCCTACAACTCAGGAGACCTGACATCAATATCCTATGCAACCACAAACTCCTTGTGTAACCTTGGGGCAAATCACTTAAGGTATGTCCACAGTGCAACAAGGAGCAAGCCTCACAATCCAAGTGCACAGATTTGTGTTTGTGAGGCTCATGCTAGTGTGCATAAAAATAGCTCTACAGACATTGCTTTGTTGTTGTAACCTGTGATTTTGTACCGGAGAGTGGAAGGAGCTTAAGATCATGAACTCCAGTGTGAACAGCAACATGGCTATTTTTAGCGTATTGAGACGAGCCTTGCTCACATAGGTCTCTGTGGACTTGGGCTTGGTGGTTTGCTCCCGGATGCAATGGAGACGTATCATCAGCCTTAGATCTCAAAGACATTTAGACTCATAAGTGCAGAAGCCTGAAAATCAACCAGAGTTAGAGGCCTGAAAACCCTTTTAGGATCTGAGCCTTCATCAATCTGTGCTTTTGTTTCCCATCTATAAAATGAGAATAATAGCACTTCCCTACTGCTCAGAGGAGTTCAGTAGGCAAATATGTTACAAATTGTGATGCACCCAAGATGGGATTCACAAATATAATTAGTCATTTAACAGTAGGAGTATGTCACTTAGGGTGCATCTACACTGCACCTGGAGCTCGAAATAAGCTATCCAATTTGAACTACACAAATTGTATAGCTTATTTGACATTAATTTCGAAATAGCTTATTTGGTGTTGTCTACACAGCACTTATTTCAAAATAAATTGCTATTCTGAAACGTCCCTTACTCCTTGTGGAATGAAGTTTACAGGGATGTTGGAACAGCGAGTCTGTTATATTTTGAATAGGCCAACTCAAAATACGTGGAATGGCTATTTTGGGGTAAATAGCGCTGCAGTGTAAATGTTACCTTAGAATAACAGAGAAATCAATGTAAAGTTTAAATGAGTCTACCTTAAGGTTTGCACAAGTTTCACTAGTTGAATTTAAAATCAGTTTAGTTAAAAAGGTAACACAGTTCTAGTGTAGATTAGTCCTAAAATTGCAGAAAATTCATATCCAAAGAGTAAAGGAATGTAATTTTAGCATAGCAGATCAACAATGAACAATCCAAAGTGTATATATAAAAAAGATAGTTTGTAGAATTAAATCCAAATATCTCGTTACATCACATTTCAGATAAAATCTGGCCATACAGAAGTCAATGGGAGTTTTGTCATTGCCTTTGATAGAGTCACTATTTCACCCGTGAATGCTAAAGCTATGGCATACCCGATTGTAAATTTCTTCACTGACAGCTGGCTGCTTCTTATTTGATCTTTTAACGTCAAGAAACTCCACCAGTGGACGAATTGTTATTCCCTGTATAGAAAATAGCAAATATATATAAATATATATATATTGTTTATTCATAGATATAAAGGAATAGAGAAATATATTTCAGCCAATAACCTCTTATTTCTGTCAAAACTGTAACAACCAACCTGGGGGCCTTTATGGCTTTTCATAGCATTGTCTAGTTTCAAATATGAATTCACCCATTATTAGCAAGTGTTGCATTTAGTTGGCAATGTGTTCCCTCCCATAATATAGTCTTATTAGTACAAAGGGAATCTCTGGCAAACAATTGATGTCCATAAAAACGGATGTATTCATCTGACAAATCCTATTAGTGACATGTCACTTGCTAATGGCAATCATTTTTTCCAATAAAAGGTTTTCAAGAATTTCAGAGATAACAATCAGCTTATGAAACCAGAAGCACATCATTCATAATTCAAACCACAGATTTGCTACATTTTCTGTCAGCTACTGTTTTAGAAATTAAAATTCAAGAAACTAAGTAATAATATGGAAATTAATATGTAGGAGTAGGTGACTGTGGAAAATCTAGTGAGATTTTAGTCTCAGTTAGATATGTTGAGAGCAGGCACAAACTTCTGGGTTGCCCAACATGCTATGTTGGCTTTTAATATTTATTTCTGAAGGAAATAAATATTAGATATTAAATATTAATAAATATTAAAAGTATTATAAATTGTTAATAAATACCTGACACACCTTTGCTTCTTAGGTTCTGGCTACACTGAATTATTAGCTATGCTACTATGACAAAACCCTCTGAAAAAGGCTCATTCAGGTAGATTAAATGTTTTAAGTTTCTTCTCAAATGCTTCTTCACAAAACATCTGGGAAACAAAACGTGACAGGAGGAGAGTTCTCACCTGAATGAAAACGGTAAAGAATATCACCACAATAGTAGCAGTAATGAACAATTTCTTTCTGGGGATCACAGCAACAGGAAGCAAAAATACTAAAGAAAAACAGATGGCTCCTCGGAGACCTCCATAGGCAATAATGAATTGGTCCTTAAAAGTTAGAGGAATTGTCCGGAACATGTTAATGATCTGAGTCAAAACAAAAACACCTGAAGAAACGATGAAGACAATTGTCAAAGGGAAAGCTAAGGTGGTATGGAAATCCTCAGCATTGCTTATTGTTTATGACACACAGTTTGCTTGTTGTTCTTTGGTTTGGTTTGGTTTGGTTTGGTTTGGTTTGGTTTGGTTTCTTTTAAGAAAGGAAATGTCAGTTTACCAGACTGAGAGATTTTTACTCCACTGCCAGAGGGTTAGACTAGCACTCGGCCAAGAGGCAGAGGATCCCTGTTCAAATACCTTCTCCTCTCAAGAACAGAGGGGACTTAGACTGGACATCTCCCACATCCCAGATGGAGTACCCCAAATAGTGGACTAAAGGTTATGAGAGAGCTTCTCCTCTTCCTCTTCTCCCCTGTTTTGTGTGAGGCCTGGCCCAGTAAGCAGACTTTAAGCACACCTACCAGATTGTACCCACAGGTGAGTTAGGTGGAAGGAAGCTTATACTCTGGTTCTTGCACTGCTCTGGAGTTTAGGCATCCAGACACGTAGAGCGAGGCTGCACTGCATATGTGCCAAGGTGGAAAACATAGGTGCCTACAGAATTTTAAAAATACATTCTAGGCACTGGGTGAGTTTGAAATCTACACAAATTGTATAGCTGAGTGGGTTTGGAGGCAGCTGAGTGGGGCGAGCGGGGTGGAGCTGTGAAACCCATTGGGGTCTGATTCTGAGATTCAGGGGTCTAAAGTGGCAGGTAGGCACCTAACTCCCTTTGTGAATCTAATCCTAAATCACTAAGACATTTTGAAAATCCCATTAGACAATGATCCGCATCTTTAGGTACCTAAACATTTTTGTAAACCTGACCGTAAGTGTGTAAATTACCCCAAAGCTGGGACTTAGACACTTTGGAAAATGTGACCCATTGTCTTCCATACACATGGGTTCAAATCCTGGAAACACTTAGGCTACGTCTACGCTGCAAGGGTAAGTCGGAAAACGAAACGCAATTTGCGGTATGCAAATTACATATCTTTTTCTGCTTTACTGTAGAAAGAAACTTTTCCAAAATTTGGCACATCTACACGGCGCCAAATTTCGGAAAAAAGTACTCTTTCAACACATTCGTTATTCTTCATAAAATGAGGTTTACAAGGATGGCAAAAGAGTGCATCCACTTTTTTGAAAATTTGTCCAAAAAAGCGGACACGTTCCTTGGACGCAGCATTGCTTTTCCAGGTATCCGAAAAAGCAGTGCAGTCTAGATGTAGCCATAGTATCATCAATGTTTAACTTTACTGGCAAAAATGATGAAGTCAATTGGGGTATTCAAGTGATGTAGTTGCCTAAAACTCGGCAGATCTGTGGCCTAGGATAGCTCTTGACAGGTGAGATAATAAGACACATTCTTCTTTTCTGGTTTAAGAATAATACAAGACAGTAAACAGGAATTTAACTATGGTATCCCCCATTTTAATGCTATTAGATATTTCTGACAATGACTGACTTGGATAAACATAAGAAATGCTAAGTCTTTTTTGTTTTCTTTTGTGGCACTGCATAATTTTGAGAATTTTTCTTTCATATTTTGTTTATTTTTAAACCAATGTGTTTATGACAACTATGATATTTTAGTTTCAGTAATGAGTAGACTCCCACCCATTTCATAATCACAGGACTGAGGCTCAAAGTAATGTTTGGAAAGCAAACTAATCTCTTTGAAATAAAGGACACCTAAAAGTATGGAGACTATTTTGTGAGCTACTGAAACTCAGCTTTAGCAATCCCGAGAGCTCTGGTCTGAGGTCACCAGCCAATAGCAAGGGAAGAAGCTATTAGTCTCCAATATCCAGCATAAGCAGATATTCAACTTTCCCCTATCTTATTCAGATCAGCTATTACTGCATCTGAGATATACATTCCTCTTGTGCCACAAAAGATATACATTCCTTTTGTGAAGAATGCTCAAGTACACAGCTGGATATCAAGACTGTCTTACCCAGGGCCCGCCAGATCAAACAGAAGAGGAGAGTGAAGCTAACAAAGGCCCAATTCCATTCATGGTTTTTTCCAACTGTGGACACTCCCATGAAAATAAAGATCAGGGTCTCGCTGACACTGCTCAGCATCTTCATGAAATACTTTATGGTTGTGTAGGACTTCTGGGAAACATTCTCCTCCACATACTTATTCATGGTCATGGCACAAGCTGTTATCCTGCAAAGTGAAACATTAACATTTAGGTGATTAGTTAATTTTTTTTAAAAATCCACTCCTCTAAAGAGACCACTGTTGAAATATTCAGGGAGGAAGTGTTCCCTTCCATACTGGCCAGAACTTGAATTAAAAGCATAATGAATACTCTCAATGATCTATTTTAAAAAATATATGTATTGATGTATTTATAGAGGAGAGAGTTTTTTCAGAGTGATGTGTTTTCTCTCACAGGCTGCCCCACACAGACAAAATGAAAGACCTTCTGTAGGGTTGCTCGGAGTCTATGCTGAGCTCTCAGAACAGCCCCTTCAAAAAAACAAAGCAAGACAACACACCTACCCTTCAGCATATGTACATTGCCAGCATAGGTGACTAAAATTGAGATGCTCATACAATCATTCAGCAGATGAGAGAGGAAGCAAACCTTCCTAAAACAGACTCGCAAGGACTAAGGACCGAACAGTTTATCTCTATTAAAGAACAACATCCATATTTCTTCTTTATTCCTTCCATGTCTTCTGATAGCAAGTATTTCTATGTCCTTGACCACAATGGTCATAATGCAATATATTGATCTATTTCTGTTCATTGACTGACTCTGAATAGGAAAGAGATTCCATGGATAAAAAACATGTCTTAGTGATTTAGGTACTTAACTTGCATTTTCAGAAGTAACATAGGCACTCAGAAGCCTACATTTCACTGAAAGTCAATGGGCCTTTGAAGGTGTGACACTTTGATTTCTGTTCTTAATGGGAGCTAGGATCCTGCAGTTAAGCCACAGTAACCTGCAGTTGTACTAATTGTGCTGCACCATTAAAAACTATAGGTATGTCTACACTACAAAGTTAATTCGAACTAACGGATGTTAGTTCGAATTAACTTTGATAGGCGCTACACAAGCGCTCCGCTAATTCGAACTTAATTCGAACTAGCGGAGCGCTTAGTTCGAACTAGGTAAACCTCATTCTACGAGGACTAAGCCTAGTTCGAACTTACTAGTTCGAATTAAGGGGTGTGTAGCCCCTTAATTTGAACTAGTGGGAGGCTAGCCCTCCCCAGCTTTCCCTGGTGGCCACTCTGGCCAACAACAGAGAAACTCTATTGCCCCCTTCCCGGCCCCGGCCCCCTTAAAGGGGCACGGGCTGGCTATGGTGCCCATGCCAGGTGCAAGCCTGCCAGCACCCAGCTAGCAGACCCTGCACCTGGCACAGCTCGAGCCAGCCACCCGATGCCCCCCAGCCCTCCCCCTCTTCCCGGGACCAGGCTGGAGGCTCCCGGGAGCTTGCCCGGGACCGCAAGAGGTGGGCACCCCCCTGGGCTAGTGCAGACATCATGGACCTCGTCCACGATCTCCGCACTAGGCACAGGAAAGTGGCCGGCTAGGGGAGGGA